TGAACAATTTACAGTCCAAGCCAAGCCCCCACCCCAAGTTATTAAGAAAATGACAATAATAACATTACACTCCTTGCAAATAAATGAAAGTTTAAATTGAAAAATTGGACAGGGACTAAAAGAAAATTTAAAATCAGTTCCACAGCTGTTACTCAACACTTTAGACATCTCTCCTTTTTCTTTTTCTAATAAATGTATAAAAATCAATACTAACAAAGTATTCCAAAAATCCTTTCAACCCCACCAAGCCCCACCAAACTATGAGAATATTTGGGTGGAATAGGTGTGGAAGTGCTTTCTCAGGATAACAAATATTTTCTGAATAGCTCTTTTACATTAAAGGAATTGTAATCAGTTGTAAAACATTTTTAAATTGTTATAATTTCTGGGAAAGACAGTTATACTGGGGGATTTTGTAAAATATTTGGCACGTTACTAAACCCTTTCCTCAGGGCCGGATTTAGATGAAGAGAGGCCCTCGGCTACTCCACTTGTGAGGCCCTCCCCATCCCCCACCCTCACAACTAGAAGGAAATGGAAGAATGTTATAAACAAAATTGAGTGAAGCCAGGGATGATGACAGGTATTTAAAATTCTAAAATTCACAATTTCTCCTCTAAAGGACATAAGATATTATTGTTAAATACCATGTGATTTAAAAAGAATGCATAAAACGAACACTGAAAAACTTTTGCAATAACTGAACTTGGTAAACCTTTTGTAGCCTGGGCCGGCCTGGAACTAGTTCCCATGTCTTGTTCCTCTCTAAGGAATCAAGTTCAGCCTTCATGGCATTTAACCATGGCTCAGCATCCTCCGAGGTTAAACTTTGGACTTTGGACCTCTTGGAAGCTTCTCTGAGCTACTAACAACAGCTGTATCTGCTATGACTGTTTTAGCAAACTCTTCAGCATACCTTTTGTGTGGTTTACCCTTTGTGGCCCTTTCAGATCTGCGTACTGTACACAAGTCTTCCATGCTAGGCTTCTCCTCTTTAGGAGAATGGTGAGCAGGCAGGGTTGTCCTCTTATATACCTGCTGGGATTGACAAGGCATCTGACCCGCACCTGAATCTCATAGCTCTCCTGTAGCTGCCTCTGATTAGTTATCATTTAACTCTTGGGGGAAATAATTAGCATCACACGACATGTGCATGGAAGTTGCAGAACCATTCATAAAGCAGTAATATAAATCTCCATTGCTACATATTGGGTGTATGTTTCAGTGGTTGAACGTACAGGTTTATGGCCATGCTGTAGTGTAGAAGAAGAAGAAGAGTTTGGATTTGATATCCCGCCTTTCACTCCCTTTAAGGAGTCTCAAAGCGGCTAACAATCTCCTTTCCCTTCCTCCCCCACAACAAACACTCTGTGAGGTAAGTGGGGCTGAGAGACTTCAAAGAAGTATGACTGGCCCAAGGTCACCCAGCAGCTGCATGTGGAGGAGCGGAGACGCGAACCCGTACTGCTTATGTGACTGTGAATAAAAGGTGGATGGGCTCATTGTCTCGGGGTTTGGGGGGGAAGAGGTGACAAAACTGATTTCCAATAAGTGCCCCCCTTTATTTCCATAACAAGTCCTTGAGTCTGTACTCTGAATGGTGACACCAGGAACCTAGAAGGTGCAGGGCTTGTCAGTCCAACCCCTGCACAGTCTCATCAGGGGCAATTGGGCCAAATTGGGCCCCATGGGCTGCTCCTAAGGGGGCCCCTGCACCAGGGCAATCTAGATGGATTTTATTTATATCTATAAGATTTTGCAGACTTTGGCTGTGAACTGGGGCTCTATAAAAGAAAAAATCAAGATGCGCCCCATTGGCTAGCCCTGAGTCTAACAGTTGCTGGGCCTGAGTTGCCCTGCCCTTGCATGAAGTCTTGGGTTTGCAATTTTGGGAGGGGGGGAGACTGCCCGCTGGGGAGAGGAAGGGTTGGCAAGGCCCCCTAGATTTAGAGGCCCTAGGCCCTAGGCTTCAGCCTACTTAGCCTATACATAAATCCGGCACTGCCTTTCCTGCTATGGCTGGGGGAAATGCAGGAAACCAGATGGACATCATCTGTGAATGCTCCAGAGCAGACTCCATATGCGGAGTAGTAAACGTAATGCATTTGGGAGTCAAAACCAGAACAACGATTGTGGTATTTTCACTTGATGCAACAAAAGCATTTGACAAACTTGAATGGTCTTTCCTTTCACCAGCTTTTGAAAAAAAAATGTGAATGCAGAATACATTTCAAAGCATGTGGCATAGACTGGCTTAATGCAGGGGAGTGGCAGGAGGCAGCAGCTGGGGAACCCCCAAGAGAACCCCAGGGGAAGAAGATTCAGAGCCAGGGGGTTGGTGGTAGGATGAAGATGAATGGTCAGAGGGAGAAGAGGGAGCAGACTGGGAGGAGGAAGTGTCAGAAGCAGAAGAGGCAACAGAGTCTAGTGAGCAGGAAGAGGCTGTGGCACACGGTAGTTCAGACTCAGAGGCAGGAGAAGACAGAGATTAGGTAGGCTGCTGAAGAATCTAGGGAGGATCCCCCAATTACTGTGACCAGTTCCCCTTCTCCCTGGTCTCCCAGAACACACAGAGGAAGAAGAGGGCAGAGGGAAATTGTAGGCTGAATTAGCCTCTGAATGAAAATAACGCACCACAGAGGTATTCTGAGGTAAAAAACCCTGCCAAATTACAGAAAAATAAGTTCAAGGAGACGGGTATGTGAAGCACATTCAAAGCTGATTTTGCAGGTGGCAGGAGAGAATTCATAGGGATTCACTTCTTCCTCCCCTGTGGGTTTGTGGGTAATGTTTTTATTATGAAAACTGCATACATCAAAGAGGTACTTGAGCGAAGTGCAGGTGCTGGGGAAGTGTAGTGAATTAGGGGTGGGGTCTTCAGATTTCTTTTCTGCTCAGTTGGCACCAAAAGTCAGAAAATAAATGCAAAATTGATTTGACACAGAGGCAGATGAACTAGAATGTCCAGCATTTTCCACTAGCAGAAGGAGCAAAGTGAACAGAGCAAACAAGAACAATGTGACTGGTGAGCCCTGATCAATTCATTCCCTCTGGTTAGAAGATGTTGTTATTGTTTAGTCGTTTAGTCGTGTCCGACTCTTGGTGACCCCCTGGACCAGAGCACGCCAGGCACTCCTGTCTTCCACTGCCTCCCGCAGTTTGGTCAGACTCATGTTTGTAGCTTCGAGAACACCGTCCCACCATCTCGTCCTCTGTCGTCCCCTTCTCCTTGTGCCCTCCATCTTTCCCAACATCAGTGTCTTTTCCAGGGAGTCTTCTCTTCTCATGAGGTGGCCAAAGTCTTGGAGCCTCAACTTCACGATCTGTCCTTCCAGTGAGCACTCAGGGCTGATTTCCTTCAGAATGGATAGGTTTGATCTTCTTGCAGTCCATGGGACTCTCAAGAGTCTCCTCCAGCACCATAGTTCAAAAGCATCAATTCTTCGGCGATCAGAAGAAGATAGACCTATCAATAACAACAGCGTCTCCCCTGTCTCCACCCTGGCATTTCCCTTGATGAGAAATATTTACAAACGCACTGTCTGCACACTTTTCTTAACATCTGAATCTCCCCAAATTACTTTGGAGGTCCCCCCTCTGGACTGATCCTTCTGCGACTAAGTCAAGTGACACCCCTAGTATTTAATTGTGTATAGGGACTGAGTATTAAAATAAGGGTTTTCTTTGTCCTTTTCTTCCCCAAATCTTTGATAAAATTAAAACCAGAGTGTCCCAACTGGAAAGTGAGACTTAAATGAGAGGCCGTGGACTCTCCTTCCTTTTAAGCAGAGGTTGGATGGCCATCTGTCTTGTGTGATTTATTTGAGATTTCTGCATTGCAGGAGGTTGGACTCGATGACTCTCAGGGTCCCTTCCAACTCTACAATTCTACAATTCTATGACCTACTCCCCACCCCAGCCATTTTAAGAACTAAACTAGAGGTTCGTGATGATGTTTTCCCTGGGTGTAAGCAGACTCTGAGGTTAAGGTCACCTTGTTAACTTCCCCATGTGCTTACCAGAATAAGGAACATGGTCATGCCAGTTTCATGAAAGGATTTATAGAGCTATACTGGCATCTAGTGGGGGCAGCATGCAAGACCCAGATTTTCCTAATAATTCCCTCTTTAATGATGCAGGAAATTAAACGAAGCTGCATGGCAGGCAAATGACACAGACCACAAGCCAGAGGAAGAATAAAAATGTAGTGGAGAAATGAAAACTTAGTTCAGATGCACCAGCAGTTGTATAAACCGTTAGATTTACATACACCAGACTAGCAATGGGGGAGAATTTTGATTCATTTCCCATTTATAGGCAGACCTACTTTACAAAACAATATGAGAACTGAAACACAACCATCCTTCGAAATCTGCCCTTCTCTGAATTTTGCAAGTCGAGTGATGTGTACAAAATTGTGTATGCTGGATTGAAATGCAGATATTCCTGAAAATAACATGCAAAAGTGCATTATCATAGGGGAATTATGCTCCTATTCTTATGCTGATGCTTGTGTTTAAATAAATCAGTGTGCTTTGCACTGCATTCCAGTGTTGGTGCAGTGGTTAGAGTGTCAGACTAGGCCCCGGGAGACCTGGGTTCATATCCCCACACGACCATGAAGATCACTGGGTGACCTTGGACTAATCACTTCCTCTCAGCCTAACCTACCTCACAGGGCTGTTGTTGGCATTAAATGATATGGGGGGAACCATATAAGCCACCTCAAGCTCCTTGGAGAATAAGGAAGGACATATCTGTGGTAAATAATTTTGTTACAGCCTGAATTATTTTGACAATTTACCATCGGAGAAGGATTCCAGAACTATGGAATGTGAGGCTGGTGTGTGGCATGGCAGAACTGTTTTGTTATGAGAGCACATTCAGACCAGCACAAACAGTCCAAAGTTTACTAGAAAGTTAAGCTTTAAACTTTTGCGGTGATGTATTCAATTTGAAATGTCCCTATCTCCCCTCAGCCAAACACAAATCAAGGCGTGGCTGTGTTCACAAAAGGACAGAACAACATTCAGTTGGAAATCCGCACTGAAGCAATGGTCTAGCTAGCTGGTGTTGCTCACACTAAAGGCAAGTAATTTTTTACCTGAGGTTGTTTGTGGGCAGTGGGCGGTGGATAAAGGTTGTTATTGAAAAATCTGTGGCTGGATTCAGCACTTGCTTTCTCCCGATAATTATTTGATTTGCAGTGGAAGAGACACCACTACATTTTGGGTGTGAATTGATGTGCAATATGACTCATTCACACATGCAAATTATTCCCTTACCGTTGCCACCATATGTGATTTGTTCCAAGGCTGTAATTTAAATTATTTCAGTGTTTTATTAGAGAAAGACCATTTGGTTCAGGTGGGTTTTAATTTTGGTATTCTAAGTGGACTCTGTTCTAATTATATTATATGACTTTTGGGAAACATATGAAGGCAACTCTTCATAGAGAAGTTTTTAATGTTTGATGTTTTGTTATGTTTTAATATTTTGCTGGAATAGATGATTTGTTATTCCATTCATTGCCCTGATATAAATAATGTTCTCTGAAGGTACGCTGCCTTGGGCCCCCTGTAACCTGGCAGCACATCTGGGCAGAAAGTACATAGAATCCTGTATCTTCCAGCTAATCTGCACAGATCAGGTGAGAAGAGGGGCAGGGACTGTGAGACTGTGCATGTTTGTAAGAACATTTCCCCATCAAGCCAACTTCATGACTCTCATTTATAGCCTGTACTTGTCATAGTTGTCTTCTCTCCACTGCAGCTTTGATTTAAGATGGCCCTGGTCTGTTTGTCAGACTTTGAGGCATATGCTAAGCAGCATCTCCCCAAAGATGCCTGGGATTTTGTTGCCGCTGGCGCTGATGAATGTAGTACCCTGGAAGAAAACCTCAAGGCATTCAAAAGGTATGATAAAGGCTCACCTTTGGCGAGTGGAAGGTTAGCACTCGTATTTAGATGGTCGCTCACATGAAGCATCGTGGACTGGGCAGATCGGGCTGGATTGAAATCTTACGCCAGACATTGGCGGTGCAAGCAGGTCCGGATTTAGATTTTATGAGGCCCTAAGCTACTGACACGGGTGGGCTGTGGGTTAAACCACAGAGCCTAGGACTTGCCGATCAGAAGGTTGGCGGTTTGAATCCCTGTGACGGGGTGAGCTCCTGTTGCTCGGTCCCAGCTCCTGCCAACCTAGCAGTTCGAAAGCACGTCAAAGTGCAAGTAGATAAATAGGTACCACTCCAGTGGGAAGGTAAACGGCGTTTCCGTGCGCTGCTCTGGTTCGCCAGAAGCGGCTTAGTCATGCTGGCCACATGACCCGGAAGCTGTACGCCGGGTCCCTCGGCCAATAAAGTCCGACGAGCGCACAACCCCAGAGTCGGCCACGACTGGACCTAATAGTCAGGGGTCCCTTTACCTTTACCTTTAAGCTACTGAAGGTAATGGGGCCCTTTATATGTCCAGGTATCCTTTGTCAACAACAAATTGTCACTGTTTTTGTGTTGAATATATGCTTTATGCATGGAAATGAGCAAACCAGTGATACTTTAGGGAGCAGGCTAGCAGGCGGGGCCCATTACTTACATCATAGGAGCCTACGCAACACAAAACACTGTTGCTGTATGTAGGTTTTATTTTATTTGTTTTTTATCTTATATTTTGGAAATGTACATCCAGGGTTTTTTTCCTTTAATTTTTTTTTGGGGGGGCAAGAAAGTGGGGCCCTAAGCTATAGCTTGTTTAGCTTATATGTAAATCCGGCACTGGGTGCAAGCATTCACATGAATCTCTTTCCACCGACCGACTTTGTTAAACTCAGTCACAAATGGCTGATCTGGTATCTATCAAAACAGAAGTCTGATCTGGGAAAGTGAATCATTTGCAGCAAAATTGGGAAGAACTGATGCCTCTGTATCCCACAAAGTTTTGTTTTCAGTGCTCCATTCCAGTTCTCACACACTTGTGTGCCACAGTGCAGCTATTGCAGTAGGGTGGCTGGATCTGAACTTGCAGATGTGTCAGAGTTGTTCCACGCCTTGCAGCCAGATCCCACTTCTACGGCAACAAAATGTGTTGAGCACATCGAGCAGTGGCGTAGCGTGGGGGGTGCAGGGGGGGCCGGCCGCACCGGGCGCAACATCAGGGGGGGCGCGCTCGCACTCGCAGCTCTCTGCCCCTACCTGGCTCACTCACTCTCTCTCACTGCAGTGCTGGCTGTGCGAATCCGATCCGAGCCGCTGGGTCGCCGCCCACTGTGGAGGGGGTGGGTGCCAGGCGTGCGGTGCGGAGAAGGAGCAAGGGACTATCTGGGGGAGGGACAGTGCAGCAGCTGCCCAGCACGGGAGAGAACCACACCAGACCAGACCAGGCAGCAGCAAGAAGAAGCTGGCAGCGGCAGCAGGTTAGGGGTTAGGGGGCGCAAATTACTTGCCTTGCCCTGGGTTAGGGGGCGCAAATTACTTGCCTTGCCCCGGGTTAGGGGGCGCAAATTACTTGCCTTGCCCCGGGTGCTGACAACCCACGCTACGCCGCTGACATCGAGACACCCAAGAAATCTCATACCGTCTACCCAATGGGCAGAAGGTGGGAGGGGACACAGTAGCAAGCATTTCAAGCCTCTAAACACCTACACAAGTGCTTTCTCCAAGTGCCTGGTGCTTTCTGGGGACAGTTGCCTCCCCCCCAGGGGCGGAGGAAGGGAGGGGCGGTGGGGGCAGGCCGCCCCAGGTGTCACCACTGCGGGAGGTGACAAAATGTTGGGAGGCACTCACCTGTAGCGTGCCCGAGACACGCGTCTCTCCTGGGAGTAATGCAGTGACTTAGGTGGCCACAGACTCCGTGCTGCCCCAAACAGTCCGCCCTCTGCCTCCCCCCACCCCAGCTATAGGGCAGCTGAGTGGGAGGAGGCAGGCAGACACCTCCGAAGACCTGTGGAGTGTCCTGCCCCAGCCTGTTCTGTGGGTGGCTGGGGCGCCACCACCGCCCCAGGTACCCGATCAGCTGGCTCCACCACTGCTCCCCCCACCCCTGAAATATCATTGTGTTTACATTGAAAAGGGCCTTTTCACAGTGCAATGAAAGGGCTTGTGCTCTTTGTGTCCTCATGAGAGAAGTTCCAAAAAAGCTGAACTCTCAATAACTCTTGTTTGATCTCAAGGATTATATTAAGTTGTGGTTGGACATAGCAGTCGACACAGAGATTTCTCCAAGTGGTTCTTTATACAGTGGTGCCTGGAGACTGATGACTGCAAGACGGCAAACCAGCTCAGACCAAGGGCTTGCTTTTATAGGCAGCCGGCTGTCAACATTGTCAGAACAACAACCCAGGGTTCCCTGCCTAAATTAACTTACGTGGACCTGAGTGAAAACTACCGCTATCTTTATCTAGCTGCTAGCCTTAAGAGCCTTCTAGACAGCTAAGACGCAGCCAATAAGCTTTTGGTAGGAGCGAAACGCAAGAACACAAATCCATTGCCGCTGATAGGTTCTCAGAAGCCGAGAACAGCAAGACGAGATCACTGCACAGTGAAAGCAGCAATCTCTCTTGCTGTTCACTGTAGCTAGCTGGAACTGAACTGAACAGCAACAGCTCAGCCAGCCTGCTTCCATAGGCAGCCGGCTGTCAACATTGTCAGAACAGCAACCCAGGTTTCTGCCTAGGAGGAACTAACGTGAGTCTTATAGAGCAAAAAATACTGTATATACACAATACCCCTGGTGGCCAGGGTGAGAACTTCAATACATAACAGATTAGATTCATCCCTGACCCCAGTATAGCTTTTTCGCCATTCAGCAAAGCACCTAATTCCATCTGACAGTAACAATATAATTAGCAATCTCTGTAGTATTTAATTGTTACAGATGCCCCCCCCACACACAATTGCTATCAAGACTGCAATGTGCAAGTAGTGAGACTCCTCAGTCAGAGTCTCCATGAATTCTCCCTAAAAACAAACACACACACATATAGTGGAGTAATAAGCATTAATGGCTAATGCTAATTTTTTCTTATTTTTTCTAATGCTTATTGCCACACTGATATTTATCACACCATTTTCCAAGTGGAGCAGAACATGTAAGAATGGTTTGTTGCTGGTTTTTCAATAGAAAAATAAAATAAAATGTCCATTATTTAATCAGCCATGCGTTTTGTGCATTTGCTAATGTGGAAATCTTCATGAACGTATCCTGAATAATACATTTCCCCCCGTTTTTGTTATTTATTATACTTGTTACCCAAAGATCTCCACAAAGTTATCTAATTTATATTACTCTTAATAATAATTATAATGAGGATTTTATAATTGAATGCAAAACAGGGGGAAAAACAAAGTTACATTAACAAATTAACAGTAGAACTTAACATAAGACAATGCTAGAAATATTTGAGCACAGTGTCCTTAGAATAAAGCACTGATTATAAGCCAGCTTATTATATATGTTTTATATTCACTTGGGGGATGTTGGAATATTCCAGAAACTTGGTAATTGGTCTTCAGCAGGTTGCTAGGCAACAGGAAAAGTCTGCCCAGCAACAGGAGACTATATTAAGGGCATATGATTAACAAGGGTCAGAGTGTAGAGAGTGAAAAGAGTCAGTGTGCAAATGAGCATGAGTCAGCATTAGGTCTCTGGCCAGATGGCTAGAAGAAGAAAGGGTTATGTTATTTTATTTGTATTAAAGGTAAAGGGACCCCTGACCATTAGGTCCAGTCGTAACCAACTCTGGGGTTGTGGCGCTCATCTCGCTTTGTTGGCTGAGGGAGCCAGCGTACAGCTTCCAGGTCATGTGGCCAGCATGACTAAGCCGCTTCTGGTGAACCAGAGCAGCGCACGGAAATGCCGTTTACCTTCCCGCAGGAGCGGTACCTATTTATCTACTTGCACTTTGACGTGCTTTTGAACTGCTAGGTGGGCAGGAGCAGGGACCGAGCAATGGGAGCTCACCCTGTCACGGGGATTCGAACCGCCGACCTTCTGATCGGCAAGTCCTAGGCTCTGTGGTTTAACCCACAGTGCCACCCGTGTTGTATTAGACCGATGTAAATTATTGTAAATAATAAAGATACTCAATTAAATAGGAAACTCTGCTGCAAGTTTTTCAAAAGAAGAAAAGCCAAGAGCAGTGGCTGCGCATGCACATCAACAGGGGAAGGGCAATATAGGATATTCTCCATCGAAAGGGATACCGGAGTTGTTTAGTTGTCAGGATGAATGGCTGAATTAGATTAGACTGACAGGTCTTCCGCCTGCAGAAGTAACACCTGCCAGCTCTGCTGTTTCTAGCTCTTTCTAGTGTGGGAATGTTCAGAGTGGCAGGAGAGGCTATAATGTTGATTAATAGCCTTCCTAACTTGCGCTAGCGAGTTCCTTTACTCAGCAGAGTGCATTCCCCTTTACACGGCAGGAAACTAGTTGCAAACTCATGTGAGTTTCTTAAGACAATACGGAATTCAATATGGCTTGTCCAGACTGAAATGTGTTCTAATATTTTCCTGGTAAGACCCCTTGAATCCCTCCTAAAATAATAAAGACGCCACAGTCTTATTCATAAACAATAAAAAGTAAGTTTACTCACGATCAGGAAGAGCACAGTGTGAACCCCAAAGGCAGCCTTTAGGCTTAAAGTTACAAACATGTACAAACAGGTTTACCCCATATGGGAGATAACCTGGGGGACTGCTGGCTGGCAGGTGAATCAGGATGTTCGCAGAACAAAAAAGATTGAAGAAAGGAAGCTGGCAGCATGCCTTGTCCTTTTACCAGGTCTGGAAAGGTCACGCCCACCCACTAGTCACATGCAAGGAAGGATGCTCTAGGCCGGGAGGAACAGGAGGTTTCAACTGGCTGGACCAAACATTCCCTTGCATGTCCACTCTAGCAAAACGAGGAATGTTGTACTTGACTGCTCCCAGTGGATTACATCCCACATCTAATTCTTCCTTCAGGATTCGTTTTCGCCCACGCGTTCTGCGCGACATGTCTGCAATGGATACAAGGACCACCATCCTCGGCACTGAAATCAGCTTTCCTGTGGGAATTGCTCCCACCGGCTTCCATAGGTTGGCTTGGCCAGATGGAGAGCTGAGCACAGCGAGAGGTATGCCGGGGTCTCCTTCTTGCTGAGAAACAATGGTTGGGCACACAGGGCAGCTGAAAGTGGATTTAGCGCATCATCCCGTGCGTGCATGTTTTTCATGTCATCCACACAGCACGGTCCTTATCCAAGCGGCAGCTGTGCCACACACGGACTTGCCTCTGAATCCAACCCTGGTTTCCCCTTCCCCTCAAGCTAGATGCCTTGCCTTAGAATCAAGTGCCTTTCAAGTTTATCAGATCGTATTAAGGCTTTTAAAATGCTCTGCAAAAAGGCAAGCCTGAAATAACACTTTGGAGAGGTCCGGAGAGGACCTCGCCAGAGCACAACAGGGAAATCGGTCAGGAATGTGTACAGCTCAGTCTTGTAGGGAAGACTGTAGCTCTCTTCAGCAATACAAAGATTGCACCCACAGCGCCAGATTTAGGGTGGGACGGTTCACCTGCACAGGTCACCAAGCCAAGGGGCACAAAATTGAGAAGATCCATAACGGAGAAGATCGATTTGGGGGAGCCAAATTTTGGCCTTTCACAGGGCGCCATATTACAAAAGATGGAGAAGACAGAGTGAGTGCCGTTTACCAGAGACTTGGCTGCTAATACTTCCGCATGTCTGAGAACATTTAATTCGCTCTTATCTCTCTCTTTTTTAATATATAATTTTTATTAAATTTTCTGTTCTACAGTTTAAAATACTCATTTTACATCCTTAAGATATCAATGACTTCCCTTCTTCTCTTTCCATGGTTCATTTTACATTTCATAAAGCCCTGCATATTTTACAAAAACTATACCATTCAGTGTTCCGTTATTGCATCCATCAAAACTTGTTTATGCTGTTGAATTTACCTTAATGCTGCCAGTGTTTTCAGCTGGACACAATTATTTCCCATATATAATCAATAAACGTTTTCCAATCTTCTTTAAACATATGTTCTTCTTGTTCTATATGTTCAGTCTGTGAGTTGTGCATATTCTGTCAACTTAAGATGCCATTCTTCTTTAGTTGGGACCTCGCTCGTTTTCCATTTTGGGGCTAACGAAACACGGGCCACTTTAGTGGCATACATAAACAACATTTTTTGAAATTCCCTCTTTTCTCTGTCAACGGTAACATTCCACCATTCGTGCTCTGTAAGGAAATAAAATAAACAAATAACAGGAATTAGTGAACTGACCCACTAATCATAGCTTTAGCTGAGATTCCCGAATAGCAGGGGGTTGGATTAGAAAACCTTTTGCGGTCCCTTCCAACTCAACAGTTCAATAATTCTATGAGCCAAAGCAGCCAAACCCAGCATACTAGGCTCAGATTTTCCTTCCCCCATCCCCATATTTTTCCAAAGCGGCAGAAGCTATGAAGACATGCTACATTGCCAGCTCCTATGCCTCTTGCTCCGTGGATGAGATTGCTGCTGCTGCGCCTGCTGCTCTCCGGTGGTTCCAGCTCTACATCCACCGGGACAGAACCGTCTCGGAGCAACTGGTACGAAGGGCAGAGGCAGCTGGCTTCCGGGCCCTGGTGCTCACAGCTGACGTGCCCTACACGGGGAAGAGGCGCGACGACATCCGCAACAACTTCCGGTTCTTGTCTGCCGTCAAGCCAAAGAACTTTGAAGGCGCCTTCGAGGTTTGTTTGTTTGTTTAAATATTTTTATTAGCAATTCAACAACATGTCAAAACATATCCTATTCATTATTTCCGCCCCTTTTTCCCACCCACCCCTCAAACCCTCCCTCCCCTCCCCCAAACACTTCCCTCAGTTCCTCTCTCTGATTTCTCAACACATATTATTCTCTGCATGTTACAAAATTATACAAATCCTTACATTATCTGTCTGCCATGTTATCAATCAATAAATTTGTGTATGTTTATTCAAAATAATAATAATAATAATTTATTTATATCCCGCCCTCCCCAGCCAAGGCCGGGCTCAGGGCGGCTAACAACAATAAAATAATACAACATTCTAAAATCATTTCATTAAAAAATGATTTCATTAAAAACTGCCAAGGAGTCAAATTCATTTTGTTGTCCTTTTAGTTAATTTGTGAAAAGTTCCCATTTTTGTTTAAAGCCACAGTTGTCCTTATCTCGCAGTTTATATGTCAATTTAGCCAGTTCTGCATAGTCCATCAGTTTTTCTTGCCACTGTTCTTTTGTCGGGATTTCCTCATTCTTCCATCCTTGTGCTATCAAGACTCTTGCCGCTGTTGTTGCATACATAAATAAATTCTTTATTTTCCTTGGCAGGTCTTGTCCTACAATCCCTAACAGAAATGCTTCTGGTTTTTTAACAAATGTCATTTTGAACATTTTCTTCAGTTCATTGTAGATCATTTCCCAAAATTCCCCTGCTTTCAAGGTCTGTAAAGCTTTAGCGGAATCCCATACAAAAGCCGTCTAGGGGATGGGCAGAGTAACTTGGGACATCCACACCATTGTGGAGAGACAGCCAGCAAGGTGTGGGCAGTGCCAGGCTGGACATCGGGACAAGGCAGCAAAGTGTGTTTGGGATGGCGCAAAACGGTGGTAAAGGGGGGGAAACAGGTTTGTTGGCCTCTGTGTGGCTTGAGAGATAATGGAGTGTGCCTCCCGGGATGAGGTCAAACTGCTGCAATAGCAGAACCAAAGTGACCTCCCCGGGGCACAAGTATGGAAGTCCTGGGCTGCCCATATGATACGACTCCCCCTCTCGGCCTCACTGATTTGGTCCAAAGGAAAGCAGAGCAATATTTTTGGCACCAGCTGGGCTGCAGGAGTTGCTGGAAGAAGGCATACAAGGCACCACCCAACCGTCTTAGGGACTCCACTCCGGGCTTGCTCCTGGGACGTTTCCTCTCCTGAAGATACCTTGCAAGGCAGCAGAGGTTGAGCTTCAGAGTTTTCCTTCTCTGAGATGGGCTACCTTTCTAAAGTTGACAAGCCCCATCTGCCCCTCACTTCCCTCTGCACCACATGCAGAAATTGCCTTTTGGACCATTGGATCCACTATTGGTCTCATCTGCTCAAGGCAAGGGTTATGCAACCCAAAACAAACAGAAGCTTTCTTGGCTCTGTGAGGCCTTGGAGTTGCTGCACTCTTGCTGGCGTCCACTGGACAAGGGACAGAAATACAATCAAATATTTTCTAACCTGGAGGAAGGGAGATCGTTGCTTCCCCCCAGCTCAAATTTCTGTCACTCCCAGTGGGATGGATGCTCACGCCTCTGAGGCCTTCGCAGTCAATAATAATAATAATAATAATAATAATAATAATAATAATTTATTATTTATACCCCGCCCATCTGGCTGGGCTTCCCCAGCCACTCTGGGCGGCTTCCCAAAAAAGATTAAAATACTATAATACATCAAATATTAAAAACTTCCCTAAACAGGGCTGCCTTCAGATGTCTTCTGAAAGTCTGGTAGTTGTTATTCTCTTTGACATCTGGTGGGAGGGCGTTCCACAGCTTTCAGGGGCTCTCAGCTTTCTGCCTGTCTTGGATAGCAGTCTCTCCTGCTCCTGTAAAGCAAACAGAGCAGGTTCCTTATAACACACTGTTGTAAACAAAAATTGCCCTTTTCCCTTATGGAATATCCAAGAGCCCATATAGAGTCCTTACATAGGTTCCCTATTGGTAGGAGAAGATAACAGAGGCCAACCAGAGAATATTGAGAAGCAAAGCAGCTAGTAAGCTTGATCTTTATTGATCTGTTGCAACAGCGTGCTCCCCTCACCCGCAGGAGAGAAGAGGAACCCAGAAAAATGGCGTGCAATGCCTTATAAAGACTTTTGAAATTCCCACCCTGTAGATCAATACCAACCACAGAAACATCATACACACATCACAGAAGGGGTGTAACCTAAGACCAACCCTCAGATACATCATACCTACATCACAGAAAAGGCGGTCTTAAAACAGAAATTTGAATGTTGTTTTTCTCCTGTCGTTGTTTATCTCCTGTCTGGCAGGTTACTTGATTGGATTTCCTGGGTAGCCTGGCCTGTCTTTTGTAATGATAAATACTTAGTTCCTGGGCCAGGTCACAGGCTCACACCCTATTCAAACACAGACATACCCTTAAGACAGGATTTGTGAAGGAAAACACAACAGGCAGGCTTTTCCATTTTCCTTTGACCTTGCAGAGAAAACATTTGGTCAGTTTGGGACAGTTTGGGAATCAAAATGGTTCCAGGTCGGTCTTCCTGTACTGATCTATGTGTGTGCTTGGTTGGTACACTTATGAACATTTAACATATATCTAAGACCTCAGAATTCCTATCACAATATCCTCCCACATTTCGGGAGGGCAAAGCAGGACTCTGCCCATCTCCTGCACCATCCCATCCGCCCACCCCAATCTCTGTTCTTCTTCGCCCCCCCCCCCCATCCGTCCAATCTCCACCCCAGGATGAAGGCAACAATGGAAGCTGCCATAGATCAAGTCAGTTCATATCGCTCAGTACTGTTCACACTGACTGGCAGCTGCCCTTCGGGGCTTCAGATGGGACCCTACCAGGAGATACGAGGGACTGAACCCGGTGCCTTCTGCATGCAAAACAGATGTACAATCAGAAATTCAGCCGAAGGAAAGAATATGGAATACAGTCGTACCCTGGAAGCCAAACGCCTTGGGAGTCAAACGTTTCAGCTCCCGAACGCTGCAAACCCAGAAGCGAGTGTTCTGGTTTGCGAACGTTCTTTGGAACCCGAATGTCCGGCGTGGCTTCCAATTGGCTGCAGGAGCTTGCTGCAGCCAATCAGAAGCCGCGCTTTGGTTTCCGAACATTGTGGAAGTCGAAAGGACTTCCGGAACAGATTCCATTCGACTTCCAAGGTATGACTGTATAGCCAAGCCTGACCTCACCACCAGAGGGGTAATAAGAGGCCATACAGCAGAAAGCTCCATAGTTCAATATATATATACCATATCGGCCCGAATATGTCATACCTGAATATAAGCTACAGCTTTAAAACTGGAGGGGGGGGGAGAAAAAATACCCAAATACAAGTTGCTCCCTTCCTCACTGCTCCTGGCTTCATACTGGGGGGGGGGGGCGACGCTGTATTGCCATCGGCCTTTCCCCTTCCTCGCTCTCTCCCTTCTCAGCCTTAGAGGAGAGGGTGGGGAACAATACGCAGGGCGGGCACCGCTTTGCTGCATTCCTGGCTGTATACCGTAAGGTCACAAATATAAGCCACACTTTAACTTTTCATGGTCAGAATTTGGGGGAAGTATGGCTTATATTCGGGCCAATATGGTATACAGTGGAACCTCGGGTTGCGGCGTAATCCGTAATGGAGGCACATCCGCAACCCGCAGCAATCGTAACCTGCAGCGCCGTGTCTGCGCACACGCGTGACACAATTTAGTGCTTCTGCGCATGCGCAAGCGGTGAAACCCGGAAGTAGCCCTTTCCGGTACTTCTGAGTTTCCCGCAGTCCGCAACCTGAAAACGCATAACCCAAAGCGTCTGTAACCCGAGGTAGCACTGTATATTTGTTTCGCAGCCTTTACATAGTGCTTGATTGTAACAAAACCTCAAAATGTTTATAAGAAAGCCTAGCAGGAGAGGGATCTGTTTAAGAGTTGCACCAACCGTGTGAGCAACAGTGATGCTCTCTTTTGCTCCTCTCCTTCAGGGTAAAGACTGTTCAGAGTATGGGGTGCCTGCTGGCAGTATAGACCCCTCTGTCACTTGGAATGATATCTCCTGGCTACGGAGAGTGACACGCCTGCCTCTCATCATCAAGGGAATTCTGACAAAGGAAGATGCAGAGCTGGCCATGAGCCGTGGAGTTCAAGGGATTATTGTGTCCAACCATGGAGGAAGACAGCTGGATGGGGCACCTGCAAGTGTAAGGGACAGGTCATTATCTATCACACTTAACATGTGCAAAACTGTTCATGTCCACAGCTGTGGTTTACTTGGTTGTGTGCACCGATGCAAAGGAGCAGGATATCAACTGAATCAGTCAAAAGATAAATGAATAACCAAACAATTAAACCCCTGTGTTGCAAACAATTAACAGTAATATCCAAGGCAACACAATGACCAAGTACAACAATGCAATATCAATATAAACTCTTTATATAGTCTATACGGAACATGGAACAATATGAGAAACCAAATAAACAGAAATCTTATAAATCTCTGAAAGTCACTAAAGTGCACTCTTGATGGATTCTCTTGAAAATATAGAACCAAATAAGTCTTGTAAGTCTCTGAAAGTCTTTGTAGACTATGCAAGTCTCTGAAAGAAGCAATGGGTCAGATTCTTATCTGATGAAACAGACGTAGTGAACATCATTTCAATAATTCATTTGCAGTTTATGAAGCATTTCTGTATCCTTCTGCTGTGCTGAAGAAGAATTCTGTGAAACAGTGGGGATGTCCGGAAACACTGTTCACTACGTCTGTTTGCGGACCACTTCGGCAGTGTTGGACGTCATAAAACAAAGCTTTAACTGCTTGTTTTCATCAGATAAGAATCTGACCCATTGCTTCTTTCAGAGACTTGTGACTAAGCCACAGTTTGCTGCCTGTGCAGCTTTTCTAGCTGATGTACATGAACCTGACCTTTGGAGAGTTCGTAAGTAAACAGTTTTTAAACTTACCAAGCATATGGTCTTTTTCTATGCTAGGAGAAGAGAGGGACTTTGACAGGAACTTGGAAGGGCACATTTAAAGATCTGACGGCCTGTATTTTCACAGTTTGCTTTGCTGCATATTTTGTGATTTTAAATCTCTGTTGGGCTTCTCTCACCAAAGAGTGTCTGCCCCAAACCAGAATCCTGGCAGCCAGGGAATTCTCCCTTTTATATACCTATTTTTTCCTTGCCATCAACAGCATATTCAATAGGGGAAGATATCTTCCAACCTCTGACCATTCTGCGTTCTGAGGTTTCTTGCCCAAAGGCTGCATAAAGGAGTGCATGTATTATATCCCCATGTTGAACACAGCAGAGAGAAGCAGCCTATATCTTTCCAGGGCTTAGCAACCTTTGGATGTGATAGGTGTGGGAAGGTGTATGGCCACAGGAAAGGGAGTAGCAGAAACTGATGGTTGATCCACCCATCCAAAAACACTGACGAATAATAATAATCTGTGACACTGAGTGGAGCAGTTTGGAACCCTATTTTCTCTGACTTTTGGATTATCCTCATATCACACAAACTTGAATTTTGCAGGGGGACGTATCGGTGTTGTCTGAGGGTAATGTAGGGTGGATTGCACAAATTAAATGACAACACAAACAGCTGCAAACACACAGTACACACTGGTGTGGACCAGCCCCCAAACAGAATACTCTTGGCTTTTAAATAGCCTGGCTGGACAGACTATCAATAAAATAAATAGAAAGAGCAGACACTAGGTGGAGTGGAGCCTTCAATAATGTTTGGCAGTGTATTGGTATGATGGTGGCTGATAGGAGTTCTAAGAGAGATCCATGTTCCAAGGATATCTGTGAAATAACAGAGGGCAAGTCTTGGTTCTCGAACATTTATGCCTCAGTTCCCATCTATGTGTTTCGCATTTGCTTCTTTGCAGATTGATGCTCTAGTTGAAATTGTAGCCACAGTTGAAAACAAAATTGACGTTTATTTGGATGGCGGGATACGAACAGGAAGTGATGTATTGAAAGCGCTGGCGCTCGGAGCAAAATGCGTCTTCATCGGAAGGCCTGCTATATGGGGTCTGGCCTATAAGGTGAATAAATATACAGTTTGTATGCCTGAGCAACCGTTTAGGGCTTATAAGATATAGCAAGAAATTGCAAATGAACAGCGGTCCCTTTCAAACAAGTGACCGAAACGTTGCCCTTTACATTTGCACATGGTCCATCACATCTTGCCTTTGGTTTTATAATGCGTGCATGTTTTGGACTCCAGCGTGGTGCATCGTTCTGCCAGTGTAATCTTGATTTATCCAATAAGCTTCAGTCCAGGTACGTGCGCTATAACACCACTTTCTCAATCCACTTCATAATTCTGATTGTTACTCTGAAGCCACATGTCACAATACAGTGATACCTCGGGTTAAGTACTTAATTCGTTCTGGAGGTCCGTACTTAACCTGAAACTGTCCTTAACCTGAAGCACCACTTTAGTTAATGGGGCCTCCTGCTGCTGCCGCCGCACCGCCGGAACCCGATTTCTGTTCTTATCCTGAAGCAAAGTTCTTAACCTGAAGCACTATTTCTGGCTTAGTGGAGTGTGTAACCTGAAGCGTATGTAACCTGAAGCATATGTAACCCGAGGTACCACTGTAAAGCCCATAAGGCTGTGGCTACCATCTATGAGGGAGATCTGTTTGCAAAATAGCAGCTTCCAAATCAACTTGCAAAACAACGTAGGCTACACTCCAGTCTATGGACCAGAGGGGACAGCCATCACCATCAGTAGTGATAGAATTATTTTCCTCTATGTTTTTAATTGTTCTTATCTTATCTGTAAGCTGCCTTGAATCCCTGTCAGGAAAAAAGATGGGGATATAGATAAATATATAAAAGCATAATCCTAGCTAATAATTTTACTAGGCTCATAGGCTAGTTCCCCCCCAAGAGCTACTGCATTTATTCATTCCAGATGGTAATAGACACCCGGAACATGGGTTATCCAGGGAGATGCAAACAAATCAAGCTATGGTTGATCTAGAACCCCCCAAGCTGTTTGACAGAGCCCCCCCATCAACAGCCCTGGAGTCTGCTGCTCCCCTCCCCATGGTTCCATTTTGTTTTTCTTTAAAGGGGCAGCAACATGTTGTTGTTGTTGTTGTTGTTGTTGTTTGGTCATTTAGTCGTGTCCGACTCTTCGTGACCCCCTAGACCAGAGCACGCCAGGCACTTCTGTCTTCCACTGCCTCCCGTAGTTTGGTCAAATTCATGCTGGTAGCTTCGAGAACACTGTCCAACCATCTCGTCCTCTGTCGTCCCCTTCTCCTTGTGCCCTCCATCTTCCCAACATCAGGGTCTTTTCCAGGGAGTCTTCTCTTCTCATGAGGTGGCCAAAGTCTTGGAGCCTCAGCTTCAGGATCTGTCCTTCCAGTGAGCACTCAGGGCTAATTTCCCTAAGAATGGAGAGGTTTGATCTTCTTGCAGTCCATGGGACTCTCAAGAGTCTCCTCCAGCACCATAATTCAAAAGCATCAATTCTTTGGCGATCAGCCTTCTTTATGGTCCAGCTCTCACTTCCATACATCACTACTGGGAAAACCAGAGCTTTAACTATACGGACCTTTGTTGGCAAGGTGATGTCTCTACTTTTTAAGATGCTGTCTAGATATGTCATTGCTTTTCTCCTAAGATGCAGGCGTCTTTTAATTTCGTGACTGCTGTCACCATCTGCAGTGAACATGGAGCCCAAGAAAGTGAAATCTCTCACTGCCTCAGTTTCTTCCCCTTCTATTTGCCAGGAGGTGATGGGACCAGTGGCCATGATCTTCGTTTTTTTGATGTTGAGCTTCAGACCATATTTTGCGCTCTCCTCTTTCACCCTCAATAAAAGGTTCTTTAATTCCTCCTCACTTTCTGCCATCAAGGTTGTGTCATCTGCATATCTGAGGTTGTTGACATGTTAGCCATCAGTAAAGACCAAGCACGAGGCAGCAGACAATAACTGAGGCTTAAGGTAGATTCTCATTCCTTTTGCACCGATGCAAAAGGGCCTGCTAGGTTGCAGCCCTGGTCTCTTATGCGCCATAGCTCTTCTCTGTTGCTTTTTCTTTTTTTTAACAGAGCAGTTAGCTTTCTTCCTCAGCAAAAGAAGTGGCAATATTGTTTTGCTGCACTGATTCCTTGATCTTCAGGAGTTGTGGAAAAAATGTGATGGAAAGCCAGCTGCAAGAGGGCGAGACAGACATACAAGCTGTTCTCAAAGCCAAGATAACGTTAATAGTTCCTTCAGTGAAGGATAAGAACCAGTGGGAGGAATTCAAGGTCGCCCTGTTATGAACATTCGGTTGGCGCCAGCACATCCTCTTGCCTGGTGGAACAACCGCCTCTCCCCCCGCACGCTGCCCTGGAGGTTTTCCTGAACCCCCCTCCTGGCAATTTGGGGATGCAAGGGGAGAAGAGGAGGCCCCATTGTGCTTATGGAAGTCCTTGCATGAGCTTGCGCTAGCAGGACCAGTTAGTTGAGTCCGGCACACTGTACAGAAGAGCATTTGATCTTTCACATATATGGCCCCTAGGCAGAATTTTGTCTTTACCCAGGGCCTCCCTACTATTCGCAAACTAGAAATTCACTGTCCTCCCTTCTTTTACCACGCTGGCTTGAATTTCTGCTGGTAAGGCTGCATGCACACCAACACATTTGTAGTGCAAAGGCTTTTCTCAGTCCAGAACCATTAGGATTCATAGAATCATAGAATCATAGAGTTGGAAGAGACCACAAGGGCCATCGAGTCCAACCCCCTGCCAAGCAGGAAACACCATCAGAGCACTCCTGACATATGGTTGTCAAGCCTCTGCTTAAAGACCTCCAAAGAAGGAGACTCCACCACACTCCTTGGCAGCAAATTCCACTGTCAAACAGCTCTTACTGTCAGGAAGTTCTTCCTAATGTTTAGGTGGAATCTTCTTTCTTGTAGTTTGGATCCATTGCTCCGTGTCCGCTTCTCTGGAGCAGCAGAAAACAACCTTTCTCCCTCCTCTATGTGACATCCTTTTATATATTTGAACATGGCTATCATATCACCCCTTAACCTCCTCTTCTCCAGGCTAAACATGCCCAGCTCTCTTATTTTTTTTTTTTTTTAAATAATATTTATTAAAATTTCACAAGAAAAAAAAAATTTAAGGATACAAAAAACAAAATTAGTGCATAAACAAAGAAGAAAAGAAAACCCAGCCGCAAAGAAAAAAAAAAAAGAGAAACAGAAAAACAAAAATATAAAGTCCTTTACAATCTGTATTGACTTCCTTTCTAGACTTCCTCCTCCTCCCCTCTTTTGTTTCTTAATTTTTAATTTTTACAGCAAATCCTTTCTGTTTTTTCATAACAATCTGTCATTACATTTCCTTATTCTATTTTCCCTCTTGTCATATAAAAACTTTAAAACTCATAGCTTATATTCAATATTTACCAAATTCTTGCATCATTACCTTTTTACGAATCATTTACCAATCCTTACTTAAGTCATGTAATTTCATTCAACATCCTTCAAACATTTGTAAGCATTCCCAATATTAAAAAGTAAAAAGAAAAAATAATAAGTCAAATTCAGTCCAGTCAGCTTCCAACCTCCCTCCCCTGGACCCGGGATTGTCAGTCCTTTTAACCTCGGTAATCCAGCTCCTTAACCTGGTTGTCTCGTATCCGAGGCCCTCAAGTCTCTTTCTTGCCCCTTTCGCCACTCTTGTTGATGATTCCTTTCCAGTCGTGGATGCTCCAGCAAGAAAATGCTTTTGACCCTTTGCAACAAGTCCATTCCAAACCCATTGCCCAAGCCAGACAGCAAATAATACCACTTCAAATTTCCACAAAGCTTGGAGACTTCGGCTACTCCAATCCTCTGATAGCCCATCACCAGACCCATCACCATGCCCAGCTCTCTTAGCCATTCCTCATAAGGCATCGTTTCCAGGCCTTTGACCATTTTGGTTGCCCTCCTCTGGACACGTTCCAGTTTGTCAATGTCCTTCTTGAACTGTGGTGCCCAGAACTGGACACAGTACTCCAGGTGAGGTCTGACCAGAGCAGAATACAGTGGCACTATTACTTCCCTTGATCTAGATGCTATACTCCTATTGATGCAGCCCAGAATTGCATTGGCTTTTTAGCTGTCGCGCCACACTGTTGGCTCATGTCAAGTTTGTGGTCAACCAAGACTCCTAGATCCTTTTCACATGTACTGCTCTCAAGCCAGGTGTCCCCATCTTGTATTTGTGCCTCTCACTTTTTTGCCCAAGTGCAATACTTTACATGTCTCCCTGTTAAAATTCATCTTGTTTGTTTTGGCCCAGTTCTCTAATCTGTCAAGGTCGTTTTGAAGTGTGATCCTGTCCTCTGGGGTGTTAGCCACCCCTCCCAATTTAAGCGTCATCTGCAAATTTGATCAGGATGCCCTTGAGTCCTTCATCCAAGTCGTTGATAAAGATGTTGAATAAGACCAGGCCCAAGACAGAACCCTGTGGCACCCCACTAGTCACTCTTCTCCAGGATGAAGAGGAACCATTGATGAGCACCCTTTGGGTTCGGTCAGTCAGCCAGTTACAAATCCACTGAGTGGTAGCATAGTCAAGACCGCATTTTACCAGCTTCTTTACAAGAATATCATGAGGCACCTTGTCAAATGCCTTGCTGAAATCAAGGTAGGCTACATCCACTTCATCTACCAGGCTTGTAATTCTGTCAAAAACGAGATCAGGTTAGTCTGACATGACTTATTTTTCAGAAATCCATGCTGACTATTGGTGATCACAGCATTCCTTTCTAGGTGCTCACAGACTGTTTGCTTAATGATCTGCTCCAGAATCTTCCCTGGTATTGATGTCAGACTGACTGGGCGGTAATTATTTGGGTCCTCTCTTTTCCCCTTTTTGAAAATAGGGACAACATTTGCCCTCCTCCAGTCTGCCGGGACTTCGCCTGTTCTCCAGGAATTCTCAAAGATGACTGCCAGTGGTTCTGAGATCACATCTGCCAGTTCTTTTAATACTCTTGGATGCAGTTCATCTGGCCCTGGAGACTTGAATACATCTAAACTAGCCAAGTATTCTTGTACTATCTCCTTAGTTATTCTGGGCTGTGTTTCCTTTACTGAATCATTTGCTCCAAATTCTTCAGGTCGGGCATTGTTTTCTTTATCGGAGAAGACTGAGGCAAAGAAGGCATTGAGGAGTTCAGCCCTTTCTGTGTCCCCTGTTTGCATTTCACCATCTTCTCCTCTGAGTGACCCCACTGTTTCTTTGTTCTTTCTTTTGCTACGGACATACCCATAAAAGCCTTTTTGTTGCTTTTAACCTCTCTAGCAAGCCTGAGTTCATTCTGTGCTTTAGCTTTTCTGACTTTGTGTCTACACGTGCTGGCTATTTGTTTGAATTCCTCTTTGGTGGTTTCCCCCTTTTCCATTTTTGTACACATCCTTTTTAATCTTAACTCAGTTAAAAGTTCTTTAGATAGCCACCCTGGCTTCTTTAGGCACCTTCCATGTTTCTGTCTCATTGGTATTGCCTGACGTTGTGCTTTTAGTATCGCCCTCTTAACAAACTCCCAGCCATCATGAACTCCCTTTCCTTTTAGTATTACTGTCCATGGGATCTCACCCAGCACTTCCCTAAGTTTTATGAAGTCAGCTTTCTTAAAGTCAAGAAATTGAGTCCTAGTATGCATGGCTGCTCCTTTCTGCTGTATAGTAAACTTCAGAAGAGCATGATCACTCGCGCCTAATGATCCTTCCACTTCTACCCCACTAACCAGGTCATCAACATTGGTTAGGACCAGATCTAAAATGGCTGTTCCTCTTGTTGCTTCTCCCACTTTCTGGACAATGAAGTTGTCTGCAAGGCCAGTGAGGAATCTGTTTGACCTTATGCTCTTGGCTGAGTTTGACATCCAACAAATATCCGGGTAATTGAAGTCCCCCATTACTACTATCTACCTTCCTTTTGCATGCTTGGCCATCTGTTCCAGGAAGGCATCATCTATGTCCTCCGTTTGGCTTGGGGATCTATAGTAAACTCCCACAATGAGGTCACTGTTATTCTTCTCTCCCTTAATTTTGACCCAAATGCTCTCACTTTGGCTTTGAGGTTCTAAATCTTGGATTTCTTCACAGGTATACACATCCCTGACATATAACGCCACTCCTCCTCCTTTCTTGTCTGGTCTGTTTCTCTGAAATAGATTGTATCCCCCCATTATTACATTCCAATTGTGGGACTTATCCCACCAGGTTTCAGTGATGCCTATTATGTCATATTTAGTTTGCTGTACCAAGAGCTCAAGCTCATCTTGTTTATTTCCCATGCTTTGCGCATTAGTGTACAGACATTGAAGTCCATTAATCATTCCCCGTGGCTCTTATTTAAGGATTTTTTCCTCCCACCACTAGGTCTGTGTGCTGTTTGCTCCATTTGGTCTATGACATTTGGATGATCATCTTCATCAATTGATAGACTCCTACCTTCAGGAGCACTGTCTCCCCCCCCACCTGAGTCAGTTTAAAGCCCTCCTGATGAGGTTTCTGAGATTTTTGGCAAAACATTTCTCCCAACCGTTGTGAGGTGCAGCCCATCGCTTGCCAGAAGTCCATCTTCAAGAAACTGCAGTCCGTGATCTAAGAATCCAAACCGTTCCTGTTTACACCATTTGCGAAGCCAGCTGTTCACTTCCACTATTTTCCCCTCTCCCCTGGGCCACGTCGTTCAACTGGGAGGACAGATGAGATCACAATTTGTGCATTTAATTGCTTCAATTTCCTGCCCAGAGCCTCGTAGTCTCTTTTGATCTTCTGGAGGCTATTGCTTGCAGTGTCATTGGTTCCCACATGAACCAAGAGGAAGGGGTATTTGTCAGTGGGTTTTATGATTCCTTGCAGTCGTTCAGTTACATCTTGGATCTTAGCCCCGGGAGACAGCACACTTCCCGAGACATCTTGTCAGGCCCACAGATCACTGCTTCTGTTCCCTCAGTAGGGAATCCCCTATCACCACTACACGCCTCCTCTTAGGTTTGGTCGGGGTTCTTCCGTGAGCTGTCCGCTCCAAGGTCGCCTGCACATTCCCTGAGGACTGACTTTGCTGCTCATCTTCATATACCTGATCGACTGTAATGAGGGAGAGATCCTCAAATGGAGTCTGCTCTTCGTCTTCCATGCTAGGGGAGAGGACCTCAAAGCGATTGTGTATTTCTAAACAATCAGAGCGAACCCTGGGCCTCCTACTTCTTTGAGTCACGTTTCTCCATATATCTGGCTCCTGTGTTGGTGAACTAGCGTCCTTCTCAGGGGAGTCCCTTGTCTCCTCCTTGGTGGAGACGGTGTGCTCTGTTGCTTCCAAGAAGAGCTCCAGCTCTCTAATTCTTTGGAGCGTAGCTACACGTTCCTCCAGTTGCTGGACTTTGTCTTTTAAGAGGGCAATCAACATGCAATTGCTGCAGGTAAAGCTGCCTGCAACCTTTGGCAAGATGGCAAACATTGCGCAGGAACCGCAGGCGACTGCAGCTGTTCCCTCCCCCTCCATCTTGAGAACGTGTTGTTCGGGGTGGCTACAGCAGTCCTCCATCATAAAAAGCGTGAAGACAGGAAAAATAACTCCCCCCACAAAAAAACCTAGGTCTCCCCCAACAAACGTTTGAGACTAGCTCCCCTAAATCTAAAAGATGGATCAAACTTTTTGCTCCTTCTTCAACTGCTGCCCTGCAAGCTCTCAACATTCATCCTCAACATTCTGCTTCCAGTCTAGATCGAGTATAGATCCTGCCGTCCACAAGGCCAGGTGTGGTCATCTCGTACCTTGTAACATTTTTCCGATGAAATTAGGGACGTCCTATTCCATCATCGTCATCATTTTGTTATTTATACCCCACCCGTCTGACTGGCTTGCCCCAGCCACTCCAGGCAGCTTCCAACAAATATAAAAACATAATTAAGAAAAAATAAACATTAAAAACTAACGTATATGGGGCTACCTTCAGATGTTTTCTAAAGGTTGTACAGTTACTTATCTCCTTGGCTTGGGGGTTACATAACTCCATACCCTACAACATTTCTCTGATGGAAATAGGGACGTCCTAAGGAAAAGCAGGACATTCCAGGATCAAATCAGAAACTGGGACGGCTTCTGTAAATCCAGGACTCTCCCTGGGAAATGGGGACGCTTGGAGCGTCTGCGCTTAACCCACATTTGAAAACCAACCCCTTGATTAGGTTCTGCATGCCTTTTCCTCCCTGCACATGACCCAGGAGAGCGAAGAATGAAGCGGTGGTTGTGATCTGGGTTCGCACCCACCCACAATGCCGTTGGGCAGGTATGGCTAGAGCAGCCATTGCTGGGAAAACCCACATCAGTTTTAATTTGTCTTCAAATGGACACACTGGTGGGCAATGCAGAATAAATCTGCAATGATCTTTTATTTTCAGAACAAAACTAGTTTCTCAAGAAGCTCTTCTCAAGCTAAAATATGCAATAGCTCTAGACTGTGTGTGAACTATGTAGAAAAAGAAGTACGTACTCAGTCTCCATTCTAGAATAAAATGTGGTTTATACACAAGTTTTTGTTGTTGTTGTTTAGTTGTTTAGTCGTGTCCGACTCTTCGTGACCCCATGGACCAGAGCACGCCAGGCCCTCCTGTCTTCCACTGCCTCCCGCAGTTTGGTCAGACTCATGCTGATAGCTTCGAGAACACTGGCCAACCATCTCGTCCTCTGTCGTCCCCTTCTCCTTGTGCCCTCCATCCTTCCCAACATCAGGGTCTTTTCCAAGGAGTCTTCTCTTCTCCTGAGGTGGCCAAAGTCTTGGCGCCTCAGCTTCAGGATCTGTCCTTCCAGTGAGCACTCAGGGCTGATTTCCTTAAGAATGGATAGGTTTGATCTTCTTGCAGTCCATGGGACTCTTGTGTCTTCTCCAGCACCATGATTCAAAAGCATCAATTCTTCAGCGATCAGCCTTCTTTATGGTCCAGCTCTCACTTCCATACATCACTACTGGGAAAACCAGAGCTTTAACTATACGGAAGAGGTATTATACTGATATTGTGGCTCTTACAGATCTCCTGATTATGTGTGTTTTGGCCTTTAGCAATACAGTGGTACCTCGGGTTTCAGACGCTTCAGGTTACAGACTCCGCTAACCCAGAAATAGTACCTTGGGTTAAGAACTTCACTTCAGGATGAGAACAGAAATCATGTGGCAGCGGCAGTGGGAGGCCCCATTAGCTAAAGTGGTACCTCAGGTTAAGAACTGTTTCGGGTTAAGAACGGACCTTCAGAATGAATTAAGTTCTTAACCCAAGGTACCACTGTATGGATATGTACATACAAGGCTCACGACTTTGTAGAATTTTGTTCCCTCTATTTTGTCATATCAGTCAACATAATTGATATGTCTGAAGCCTAGATATCTGGAGCCATGCAACAATTTGTTTCCAGAGTACTGAAGGTGGCATAAAGAGAAAGTGGGAGCCTGCCTTCCATTCCACAGCCTTCCTGCTAACATTCTGTTGAAACAGTTTCTGTACGGGCTTTCATAGCGTTTCAAATGCCGTCAAAACCCGTTTGAACAGAGACAACAGTGAGACTAAAGTATAGCATACGTACAACCTAGTTGGAAAATAATTCTGAGATCCTTTCAGCTCTCAAAAGCTGTTGTCCATATTCGGTGTATGCTGGATCCATAATTTACAATATCACTGTTTCTTGGAACAGGGCGAAGAAGGACTTCGGAAAGTTCTGGAGATTTTGAAAGAGGAATTTCGTTTGTCGATGGCTCTTGCTGGTAAATCCTCCCCCTTCTCTCACCCTTTTTCAAACACCCTCCCTTGTGGAGCGTTGCCTCAGCCTCCTCTCATCTCCCCTCTCCTTGGGCATCCTTTGGGCAGCTACTGCTGCTGCCCCTGGTCTCTGAGCTGCCCCCTCTGCCCCAAAGAGAGGTGCCTTCTCACACTGTCCCACAGGGGCCTGGGACTTGTCTGTCCATTCCCAACAGCAAGGGCTGGAGGACTGGCTGGCTGGGCTCCCTTGCCCGCTTGCTTCCTTACTCCGAGGTCGCTTCAGCTCCTGGCAACCAGCACCCCCTAGCCAGCCCCAGAGGCGCTATTCACCTGGGGAGCTTATAGCCAGGGCTGCTGCAACAAACAGCTGTGCAAGCTTTTGGGAGGCAGAGACACAAGAGGGCATCAGAGGAAGGAGGGAAGGAAAGAGGGACAGAGGCCAGTTTGTCAGTTTGCATTTCTTAGTGCAGAAAGTATTGATCTGATGTGTAGAGATCTTTCCTGTCCATGATATTTGGGTTATTCCTTCTAAGAAGCTGAGTACAGCTGGCTTAACCTGGTTCTGTTATCTCTTTCTGTCAAGGTCATGCTGATTATAATAGTGAGGCCAGAAGGATCCTGGGTTTCACGTTCTCTTTTTATCTCTTTTCCGTCTGGTGTGGTGTTCTGTATGTAGTGTCAAGGTTTAGACTTATTATAAGTTATTGTAAGTTTAAGTTAAGTCTGCTGCAACTGGATTTCTTACGGACTGTGCCAATCCTAAATGTATTGGATTTGTGACCATTATGCTCATTTGCCTTCAGTAAAGCTCTGCTGGATGAAATATTAATTGCCTCTGGTCTATTTTGGGGGGAATCCTGGAACGTGTTTGAGTTCTAACTCTGCTAACTATACATTGGAATCTACTCTGGATCAATAGTGAGCAGAATTTCAGTGACACAGCTTTGCCCGTGGCACCCCTGACCATCATTCAAGGCAGCCCACGGTGCCATGGCACACTGGTTGAAAACCACTGGCCTATGTCATCACTTCCCACCTTGAGAGGAAATACGGTCACCATGCCTTGGTTATCTCTTTCTCTCTATGCGAACTTCAGCTTGTAAGGAACTCTGAGCTGGTCGCTCCAGCACATACATGCGTCCATGTTGGCCAAACCTTTGCTCCCAGAGGTGCTGAAGTTGGGGGTTTCCTAGATCGGTAGGCTTTGGAGTAGAGGACTCTGTGGTTCTATTTGCCGACAGCACATTTTTTTAACAGTTTGCCTGTTTTCATTACATGCAGGCTGTAGAAATGTCTCAGAGATTGGCCGCCACATTGTTCAATATTCCAAGTTGTGAAGAACCCTCCTGCCCTGTTCATCAGTTCCAGGAAGTGACTGCAGCCCTGGACAAGCAGGCTCAGAGCAACTGGAAAGAACAAATCAGCTGCATGTCAGAAATGCGCACCCCCTCACCCAATCAATCTCTGGCAACGTTACAGCCCCCTATATGTTTGTGGGAAGTAAAGGAGGAGGCAGTCCTTCAAATACCCTGGTCCCCAAAGTGACAACCAGAGGGCCCAGAGGGGAAGAAGGGGCCAATGCAGTTGATGCAGCGATGGGGCTGTTTGGTCACATGACAAGGGATGGAAGGATCCGGCAATTTCCCTCCTCTCTGTTTCTATTTTTCCAATCTTAAATTCAGTTTTGCACATTTCTGCAGCAATCTGCATTTAAGAAAGAAAGAAATAAAATCATCCATGACAATTCAACAGCATTTAATGTCAATTCCTCCTAATAAACACATTTTTGTTTGAAGTTCTGACCAATGTATGCATTTTGCGAGCAGTTTTACAATTATTTTCATTTGTAGGCACACTTTCCTTTCCACACTTACCTTTGAACAATCAGAATATATTAGCTAGCCAATTTACTTCCAATTTAGCCTGATTTCTATAGTACTTACTCTGTTCTTACCAGGTGCCTGATTTTTACCTGGCATATTGTATTTAATCTATTCTCTTTGATATGGTTTTCATTTTCTTATTATACTTATTTTAAGGGTTTTATTTTGAGGTCTATATTTTGGAATGAAAGACCTGTGATGGTATTGCTGTTCTCATTTGTGCGTATGTTGCAAAATCCAATAAAAAAATACTTCAGAAAAGAAAGCAAACAAGTTTTCTTCATCTGTGAAATGCAGAGTGATTTGTTTTCTTAGATCCTAGGTTTCACAAACATTTGGGGGGCTGCCAGAGAAATAAGCCAGCTAATTGAACTTGGGGCAGATCTATATTGATTGTTTAAACATTATTAAGTAAAATGTTTTTTAACATTTAAGGGCAGTTTCCCATTGGCAGTGGCTCACTGCTCTGCAGCGCCCTCTGGGGTCACAGTTCAATAACACTTTTTTAACGTGATAAACCACAAGTGTAGATTCACCCTGGGACTTTGCTAAGGCAGTTGGAAGCAAGCCCTGCTTTCCCGGCAATTTGTGTATAGGCTGAACCAAAGGAGTACAGGGTGCGCTGACCTTGTTAAAAGTAATTGTGTGGTTCAGTTCAGGTCTGCACGTGCTGCAGAGGAAGTGGGGGCAGATGGGGCTCGTCAACCTGGTAAGGTAGCCCACCTAGGAGAAGGAACACGCTGATCCTATACCTCCACTGCCTTGCGGGATATCTTTGGGAGAAGATAAGACTATGGAATAAACCCTACACAAATTCAGAGTCGAGTCCCTAAGACGGTTAGATGGCACCTTGTAGCACCTCTGTGCTGGTCCCAGGGGGGTTACCGTGTGGCGTGGTCTGAGTCCAGTACTAGGTCGAGGGTAAGTAGGCTGTCTGTCAAGGGCAAAGCAGGGTCCAAGGCAAGGAGCCGGGCGTGGTCAGGAACTCCAAAAGAGCAGGTCAGGGTGCTGGCAGGAACAGGCTTCCAGCGATGTTGCTCCTGCAACCTGGGACTGGGCTGACTGGCCTTATCTCCTCTGGGGCCTAGGGCGGTCCCGGCCCACAGGTGATTCGCCTCTCCTGGCCTTAAGGCAACTTAGTTCCCTCCGCCTCTCTGCCCTGAGCCTCTGCAGCTCAGAAGAGGCTGGAGGGTTACTGGACCCAGAGGCAGCCTCACCTTCCCCTGACAGGACTGGGAGAGGAGCACCTGCAGGCAATGGGTCCTCAATCACCTCCGGAGCCAGAGTGGATTCAGCTGGTGTCTGCTCCTGAGGATCCGGCACAGGTGCAGGCCCTTCAGATTCAAGCCCCTGCCCTGGCTCAGCCGGCCCTGAAGGCGGGGACTCCTGTGCAGGCTGGGATTCTTCAGGTTCAGTCTCTGAATCAGATTCCCAGGCCATCACAACCTCCTTCCAGCAACTCCTGCAGCCAAGCTGATGTCAAACCATTGCTCTGCTTTCCTTTGGGCCACATCAGTGAGGCTGAGAGGGGTGGTCTTGTCATCTGGGCAGCCCAGGACCTCCACACACACTGCCCAGGCTTCTGCCCTGGGGAGGTCGCTCTGACGCTGCTAATCCAGCGGTTTGACTTCACCTTGGAGGCGCACTCCATTGTCTCTCGAAACAGACGGATGCCCAAACAAGGGATATTTGTGCTCATTTTAGAGTCTCTAGCATGTTCCCTCATGACTTAAGGAAACCCTGCTGAACCAGGAAAGCAACTTCCGTCATTGTGATGCAGTATTGCTACGCTGCTGAGTGAACGGCCTTGAAAGCTGTCTTACTGGCTGATGTAGTGTTATTTCATGTCTTATCTACATGACCATGAGTCTCTCCACAAGATCAGTACATGCAGAAAGGGCCCAAGGGAAGGACATGGAAGCTCAGGACAAACAAGAGTGATCTCAGAGAGAAGCTCAAGTACAAAATGAACTAGTTCTCAAGAGCCAAATTTTCACTGCCTGCTGGCTAAACCACAGGTCACTGAAGCAGAACATCAGATGAGGCCATTCAACCCATTTTTTCTGTAACATACTATGAATGTACTAGTAAGGCCTGGCTATGGCAGTACACATGGGCATAGCCGGGGGGGCAGCCCCCCCATCAACTGAAACAATAGAAATACTTAACTAACTGACCAATCATGACAGTTCTGCGCCCCCTAACAAAAGTCATGCCCCCCAACAAAAACCCTGGCTGCATCCATGGCAGCACATAACACACTCCTAAACCTGGAATGGGGGGTTCAGGTTCTTCTCCTGAGGCTTGCCATCTGGAGGAAAAAATGTGATAGGCCCATAAATACAGGGCTAACAGAAAGCCAATAGCCAAAGCTGACAAATAATAAATCATACAGCCATTCCCTTCCTATGAATAATCTAACAATGCAGATCAATGAAACATAAGAAACGAGCAAGCTATCGGCTTATCTGCTCATCTGCTTCTGTAACCGCAATTTTCGCTTGGTACAAAATAGGCCATTGGCTAAAAGAGGGTGGGGCGCTTAAAGTCAACAGAAGTTCAAAATCTACCCACGTTTATAGCGTGGTTATAATGATTTATAGAATGCTTCAGTCCGGCTTTCGCCCCGGTTATGGGACCGAGACGACTTTGGTTGCCCTAACCTATGATCTCTGTAGACAGCTGGATCGAGGTGGGTCAGGACTGCTGATTCTTTTAGATTTGTCAGCAGCCTTTGATATGGTCGATCACGAACTTTTGGACCACCGCCTTGCCGACGTGGGGATTCAGGGCACAGTCCGACAACGGCTGTGCTCCTTTATCTCAGGTCGGGGACAGAGGGTGGCGTTAGGGAGGGAGTTGTTGCTGCGGCACTCCTTGGTGTGTGGAGTCCCACAGGCCGCAATCCTTTCCCTGATGCTTTTCAATATCTTTATGCGCCCCTTGCCCAGATTGTCTGGAGTTTTGGGCTGGGTTGTAATCAATATGCTGATGACACCAAGCCTTATCTGTTGATGGACCGCCGCCCTGACTCATATAAAGATGTGGCCGTCATGTCTATCGGGGCTCTCTCCTACTTAGAGACCATCTGGGAAAAGATCTGAGGGGGCAAATTTGTCCAACACAATCCATGCTGTATGGCCCATACTGAAAGCAAGACCAAAACAGTGGGGGTTGATTATCATCTATGCTGAGCAACATGAGTCTTGATTATTTCCATGCGGCCAGCACATTTTCATTTTGGTAACCCTTCTACCAGGACCATAAAGAGCTGGACCATAAAGAAGGCTGATCACCGAAGAATTGATGCTTTTGAATTCTGGTGCTGGAGGAGACTCTTGAGAGTCCCACGGACTGCAAGAAGATCAAACCGATCCATTCTGAAGGAAATCAGCTCTGACTGGAAGGACAGATCCTGAAGCTGAGGCTCCAATACTTTGGCCACCTCATGAGAAGAGAAGACTCCCTGGAAAAGACCCTGATGTTGGGAAAGATGGAGGGCAGAAGGAGAAGGGGACGACAGAGGACAAGATGGTTGGACAGTGTTCTCAAAGAGACCAGCATGAGTTTGACCAAGCTGTGGGAGGCAGTGGAAGACAGGAGTGCCTGGCGTGCTCTGGTCCAGGGGGTCACAAAGTCAGACACGACTAAACGACTAAACAACAACAACCCTTCTACCAAACGCTAAAGCAAGCAGCTTAACAAAGCTTATGTGCTAGGAAGTCGTTCTGCGCATGCCCCATTGGCATGAACCATGCCCCTTGGGAGCATCACTGCGTTCTTGCACAGTGCACATCCACGTCAATGGAGAGAGAATCTTTGGGAGAATTTCCTGTGTGCTCTGCGATATAACTAGCTCCAAAGAGCGGAGAGGCCTTGTTAGCTTTCGTTTGATCTTGGGCAGTTCAGGGTCTATACAATTTATCTAATGTATTTCTATCCCAATATCCTTCACCTCTGAAGCAGATGTAATTCTAAAACCACGTACGCACAGAGGCAGAGAGCATAGAAACAAAAAATAGCTGAAAACTGGGAAACTGCAGAAATGTCGACATGGAATTCTGGGTACACTGCACTGTGAATCCGGGTGCTGGAGTCACATTGTGTCAGTGTTAGGAATGAGCCAAACGGGTGCACACTTCATAAAAAATGTGCCCTATGACACCCAATTCCATGTATTTTCAAGCGGGGGAGAAAATGTTCATTCCGAAAGGCAGCAAACAAAGAGGAATTTTGGATGTCTTCCACAATTGTCAGATAAGCCACCAGCAGACAGTTCAAGGTTGATGCAGAGAAAGCATCACCCGGGGGGGGGGGAGCAAAGCCCATAAGCCCAACAACCACAATCCCATTTCCAAGGGAGTAAACCCACTGAACAAAATGGCACTTAAAGGTAAAGGGACCCCTGACCATTAGGTCCAGTCGCGGACGACTCTGTTGATTTAAGCAGAGTCTGGTTGCCAGCGGAAGGATGAGAAATACGTGATACATACTCTGTATAGCTTTATTTACAGTTCAAAGCTGGTATACTACAGAAAGACATCTTGCCTCTGCATGAGCAGAAAAATGCATCCTCTCTCCTCAACAGCTCGGAGAGAATCACACAGTGAAAAACAGGAAACCAGTGTACGTCACATCCAGTCTCCCTTTCCCGTGAGAAACTCCAACAGTACAGACTGTGGAATGTAAACAATGTCTTGTGACTGCAGTTGCTGCTCAGTGAGGGAAATAGAAACCAACATCCTCCCCCTTTCTGTGAACATCACTGGGCAGCGTGTTTGCATAATATCAGTACAAACCCAACTTCTGCACATAGGTACAGTGTTGATCCCTTGATACAATCTTGGACAATACATCAGCAGGAATTTCATTACCTGGCATATAGGACACCGTTACGAGTCCCTTCTGAATACATTCCCTAGCATGCTGCAACTTTAATTGCAAGTGCTTTGTGCTTTGCTTACAACCTTCAGACTTCAGCAAAGCCAAACATGCTTTGTTGTCCTGGTAAACCTGGATTGGACATTTGACAGGAATTTTCATATCTTTGCACAATTGTACTAACCATTCACAATCCTTAAGTGAATAAGACAGTGCATTCAGTTCAGCTTCACAAGTACTTAAGCTAACTGTTGTTTGCTTCTTGCATGCCCAATCAAACAGACTCTGATTGTACATGTAGCAAACTCCAGACGTACTTTTCCTGTCTGTAGTGTCACTTCCAA